CTAGTGGTCAGAGGCTGAACTACAACATAAAAATGAACGGCTGGCAGGAAAGTTGACATTTTAAACCTTAATTAAAAATCGATACAGGGCTTTAGAATATATTTAATATACAGTATCGGGAAATGAAATATCGAGATATTTCAGTGTATCGATATTTTCTCACACCCCTAATTTTTACTACTTTGCGCTAATTTTAGCTTCCTTCAGATTTTTTTTTGCTAAAAGTTTTTTCTGCTTTTCCAGCTATCTTTTTGCCTTTTTCAGTTATTCTGCTCATTTAAATATTTCTGCTTCTTTTTAGGCTCTTTATGGTACTTTTACGACTTTTTTTCAGCAATTTAAGCTACTATTTTCAACTAATGTTAGCTGTTTTCAGCTAAATTCACCTTTTTGTRATAATTTGTTACTTCTTTCAGCTGCTTAATTCAGCAGACACTGAACCTTCAGATTCTTTGTGCTAGATTGAGCTTTTTCAGCTACCTTTTGTAGCTTTTTGAGCTATTTTACAACAAATTAGTTTTTCTTTTTGTCTGATAAAATCTTTCAGCATGAATCGTTCTCTAGTTTGTAACATTTCTGCAGAACTGCACCTCTGAAGATCTGAACTGTGACTTTAAAACCCAAACAATCAAAGAAACTTGGTTGTTTTTGGAGTTTGTGCTCATCTTTAAATCAACATAAAATGACTCACTGTTTCCATTCGGTCATTTTTCTAACCCACTGACTCGTTGCTGCCAAAGCTTCCCCACAAACACTCTGCGTTATGAGTATTTCCACACAAGCCAAGGAAAAATCCATAAACCATCCTCATCTTTTTATTTATTTTTTTTATTTGCCTTCCCACATCTGCCAGCTACATCACAGGAGTAGTTTCCTCAGGTTTTTCCTGAGTGAAGACAATGAATGGATCGCTGTTATCTGGCTGAGGTTTTGTGTCTGAGTAAGATCTGTGGAGAGAGCAGACGCTTGAGTCACGCTGAGGTGATGTTTCATGTTTCATGAAGCTGACTGATGGAAAATTCAGAAACAGAAATAAGAGGTTAAAAAAGGAAAAAAAACGTAACAAATTAGCTGGGACTGGGGTGAAAAGTGAACATCGTCTTCCTCCTTCAGGCCTGTGGTTTTTCATCTTTTTTTCTAAAACCACACTTCTCTTCCAGTAAATCTCAAACGTTCCCAACACGCAGAGTTTCAAGTCTCTGAAACCTCAACAGGAAAAATGGTTCCCAGCTCAGCAGCTCAGCCAGACGAGTCTGGACTGAAGTTTTTGTTGTGTCAGCATCGAGGTGGGCCCTGGTGGACCTCTCTTACCGTTAAAAAACGTGGGGTTTGTCAGTTTAACAGACTTCTGTAAAAGTGTTAAATTCTGCAAACATTTACGCAGAGATGACTGGATCTAGAGCTTAATGAGTCGTTTGTTTCAGAGTTGTTCTTCGATGTTAAACGAGTGATGTCATCACACACAGCACGCGTGATGTAGCCCCCCGCTCTGCCTGTTTCACGTGAAAAAGCAAAGGAGGCGTGATCGTCTCTGTGGCTGAAAAGAAAAAAGTGAAGGTATTAGGAGGAGCAGAGGCACACAGCTCAGTTCTTATGARTCGTTGTCAGAAGTCGTTCAAACAGCTTGAATCCGTTGCAGAAGTCAAATCTCTACTTTTGGGTGATGTTGCTCAAATATCCATCATCGTTTCATGTTGGCTGCTGAAAAGATTAAATTAAATCTGTGAGTTCAGATTTTTTTAAATCCCCAAAATGTTTAAAATTGCTGCTATTTTCAGAAAGTTTTGTCTTGTTGACCAACAGTTCCCTTACGCAGCCGTGTAATGTTTGTGTTTTTTGTTTTTCTGTAAAACTTCTGACCTCATTTTGGAGTCATCTAGTGTCACTTTTTGATTTAGAGACTTTGATTATGTAAATAAAAACACATTTTCTTACATGTAGGTGTGAAAAAATGATGCTTTATTGTTAAAACTGTAAAACTGCAGGGGCGGAGCTARGATTTTTTGCAGTKGGGGTGGCACTGGGGTGGCCGAGGTGGTTCATGCAAATGAAGAAAAGCAGTCTGGATTTGAAAATTAAAGATGGCTGCTACAGCTAATTCCAAATGGCTTAAATTTATCTGTTTTTAAAAAATATTATATTTATTTTTTGTTTATTATTTATTTATTCTGAAAAATAGTGAGCTAAAGGTTGTGTGATCGTAGTTAGGAATGATCAAAGCATTCTGAATGCTGGTCACAACTTATTAGTCAGCCATTTTTAGACACACAAAACTGAAGATTAGTGTAGAAATAGCAGAAACACAATCTTGGTGCTAATCAAAAATTCAAGATGGCCACCACAGCTAGCTTTTAAAAGATTATAATACATCCATTTTAAAATTTATAAGATGAAATTTGTTGTGGCGTAGCTAAGAATGATCACATGCTGACTGCTGATGCTAATCCCAAATTAAGCTAATCACTAATGCTAATGCTAATTTTACAAAGGGCTTTAATTCAGCTATTTTAAAACAATTATACATTACAGTGGTATCAGAGAACAATCGAAATGCAAATWCAAAATCTAAGACCCCACCRCTCTTATCAGTTATTAAGGTGTGGCACCTGGGGTGGCCAATCAGGTGCCAGAGGGGGCACTTGCCACCCTGGAAACCCCTCTGGCTCCACCCCTGCCTGTCCATCTGTGTGTGTTTGGGGACTATTTCTTGTTCAAGCTCTAAATTGATAAATCTTTAGGAAAGTTAAACTAAACAGCTGAACACTTATTAATTTCCAGGTCAAAGGTCACATGTTAAAAACTTAACTTTTAGCTTGATCTTATCTAGATGGAACACTTGAGTTAAACCCGTTTGTTCCGATTTAATTCCAGTTCAAGAGTTTTATTTAATAATTTTTATGTGTTTAAATTTTCTGATACATGATCTGTTTTCTTCAACGTCATCAGGATGTGTTTGAACATTCATTTTGTTCTCCAGCTGTTTAAAACAGGAAGTGATGCTCGAGGAGTCGGTCTTTAATGTGTCTCCTGAACAAGCTTTTTTTTCTCTCCTCTCTGCTGTCAGTCATCAGATTTACCTGCTGTGTAAAGCTCACAGCTGCCACCTGCTGTTTACAGCAGAAACAGGTAAAAAGCTTTCGGGTCCTCGACTCAGAACTGCTCCGATCTGTTTTAGAGGCTTTAGAGAAACCCGTCAGAACAGACAGGARGTCCGTGTCCACCATCACGTCTCTGGTTTTAACAGGAACGAAGCAAAAACACGTTTCAGACCTGCAGATTATGCTTCAGTGAAATCACAGACTGGTTCAAAGGAATGTGGGGAGAAAAGCGTCTGCATGTTTTCTGCTCTGAAAGTGACTCATGTTCGTTATTAGCTGCGTTTGGAGGAAATGACCTCATGTCTGACTGCTGTAGACTTCACTCTGTAAGCCTCGCTYCACGATGGAAACATTAAGGAAAGAAAACGTGTTTCTTTCCTGCAGGTTTATTCTGCGTCTCGTTAATGTCTGTGCAGGGTCTGCAACCTGCGGCTCTGGGGCCACATGTGGCTCTTTGGTTCCTCWGCAGTGGCTCTTTGAAAATGTGACCAAACWWAACAGAATTTAATTTTTTTGTTTTTTGTTTTTTATACAACAGAAATCAATTTGTATGGACATACAGTATATGATCGATACTTCTAATTCAAAAAGTAAAACCTGTTAGCTCATGCTAGCCTGTTTTTTACTTAAATAATTAAACTTCTTTCTATGATATTTTTCTCAAGTCCATCAGAATTACCTTTAACGAATTTGAAGACTACATAATAAGAATTAGAAAAATATACCTGAATAGTTTAGTTGTACTAGTTTTTATGAAAGTCATTAAACTATATACAGTATTTTTCTTGTTTATACAAATATGATATTTTCATTTGTCCTGATGTGTAAAAATAATAATAAAAAATAAAATTTACAATGTATTATTTAAGTTTATGATGTCACCTCCCCTGGCCATAAAGGTTCCCAAAAAAGGCCTYGAAAATGCCCACGGACCACCAGTTGATAATCACAGTTGTAGCTAGTTTTGTGGCTCTGCACACCTTTTATTAGTGAGMCAAGCAGCACAAATGTCTCTTTTGATCATAAAGGTTGCAGACCCCCGGTACAGGGGGTCTGCTTGGTCCAGTCCTAACAGTGGTCTGGTGTTGAGTTTGATGCACCTTTACTTTCTTTTGCTTTTGTTTATTTGTGTGTTTTGGAGTTTGCATCCCTCTTGTGTTCACACCTGTCATYGCTTTAGACTCTCATTAAAATAAAACACGATCAAAAGAAGATTTTTGTTCTGTTTAGCGGTGGTGGCCATCTTGAATTTTTAAATTCAGAGTGATTTTCTTTATTTGAATGTGCCCCCCTGAAAAACACTTTGGCCACCCCCTTTAAAAAAGTTAGTTCCGCCCCTGTTCAGAGCTTTAAGTGATCCAAAAACACTTTTATTTTTGTTAATAATGAAAAATCWGTTTGATTTATGAATAAAAACTCGTACGTTTACTGATTTCACCCCCTCTCCTCGCTGCAGAAGGCGAGCCGAGCTGCACGGCGGACGGTCAGACCTACATGAACAACGACATCTGGAAGCCGGACCCCTGCCGGATCTGCGTTTGCGACAACGGCAAAGTCCTCTGCGATGAAATCTCCTGCGACGAGCTGAGTAACTGCGAGAAGGTGTACGTCCCGGAGGGCGAGTGCTGCCCCGTCTGTCAGGGCGACACATCCAGCGGCGGTGGAGGCGGCGGMGGCGGCGGCGGAGGAAACGATGGGTTTGGTGAGTCAGACCTCTCAGGAGCAGCTGAGCGTCGTTCACATCAGACTCTGAGGGTCAGCAGGTCTTACCGCTCTGACCTGAAGAGTTGGTTGTGTTTGGCCTCAGCTTATTTCAGATGTATCTCTGTGTTCATTGAACTGAAAAGTGTTTTGTTCCTCCGTGCAGGTGGGGGCAGAGTTTATAAGGTACGCAGCTCTTTGTGATTTCTCACGTATTTAACGCTCCATCACGTCGTCTGACATGTTGTCTCTGTGTTCAGGGTCAGAAGGGAGAACCTGGAGAAGTTCCAATCGTGAGTTTATTTTCAGCTTGTTGAGTGTTTCTTTTCAAAGCTGTCGGTCAAAGGTCCGATCTAACTGATGTCTGATTGTCTGCAGGTGTCGGGGATCAGAGGCCGTCCAGGACCCATGGTGAGTTTATTCTTCTTCTTACGGAGTCAGTTTGGTGACACAACTTCCCCTTAAAATTGATTTAAACTTTGTGTGATTTGTTAATGTTCGCCTTTAAAAATGATGTGTTTTTATTCCAACAGGGACCTCCCGGTTCACCTGGGTTCAGAGGAGACCGTGGACACAAAGGCAGACCTGTACGTCCCTCACAAGCCTGCGCAGACAAAAAGACAAATTTTATCATCAAAATAGAGTCTGAAGATTTTACTGATGTCATAAAATAAAACATAATTGGTTTATTAGCTGAGACAGCCTTTTGAAATCAGGTTTACTCTAAGACTTAATTAAGATGTAGATCAAAGAAAAGCAGATAAATGTGTTTCATCACAACATTTTTGTTTCCACAGTCTTATGAACTGAGGGATCGAGTAAAAGAAACATTTTAGGTTGTTTGAATAAAGATTAAAAATCAAAATGTCATCTGGAGAGTTTAAGTTATTGGAAGAGTTACAGCCTTTTGCCTTTTGTGTTGCAAAAACTAAACATTTAAAGTTCTGAACAGGGGCGGAACTAACTTTTTTATAAGGGGTGGCCAAGGTGTTTTTCAGGGGGGCACATACAAATAAAGAAAATCACTCTGGATTTAAAAATTCAAGATGGCCACCACCGCTAATTCCAAATGGTTTTAATTAATCAGTTTTAAGAAATATTGAGCTGAAAATTGCGTGATTGTAGCTAAAAATGATCCAAACAACAATCTGAATGTTGACACTTTCAGACACACAAAGCCAAAGATCAGTGTAGACGCAGCTGAAAACACTCTTTACCCARTTTTAAATGCTAATCAAAACCACAGCTAACTTTAAAAAGGCTGTAGTTCAGCCAATGCTAATCGCAAATTAAGCTAACCACTAACGTCTGTAATTTTAATCATACACAGCTGACAGTGTATATAGTACCGTATCAAAGAACAATCTTTAAATCTAAATTTAAATACAAAAATCTAAGATTCCCGCCCACTTGTCAGTAATTTGGTGGTGGTACCTGCCAATCTCTGGCTCCGCCCCTGGTTCTCAACCAAAAAAATGAGAACAAAATTATATCAAAYTGAACATTAAGCTACATTTACACATTTTTGTTTTTATGTTTAAGTTCAGTAAAATCCACAACCATAAAAACTTTAAAGTCACTGATTGATATAATTTGTTTTTGAAGTGATTGAATCAGCATTTCATGTTTTTTTTTTTTGCACCTTTTAGGGACTGCGTGGACCTCCGGGTTATGATGGAGAGCCGGGTATACCAGGTCAACCCGGTGAGCCAGGTCCTCCAGGTCCTCCCACACACCCAGGGGTACGAGRCATAAATAATAAAACAGTTTATTGATGTTTAAATGTGCAGTAACTGTATTTATTCACATGTACTCAGACTCCACTCAGATTCACTTTTTATTATTTGTACTTGCAGGGGTTGGGATCTCAGATGGCTCAAGGATTTGACTCAAAAACAGGACCTCAAGCCATGCTGAGTGGTGCAAGGGTAACTGGTCACTTCATTAATTAAAACTTGTAACTATGCTTAACATCCTGACGCTTACACACGTCTCGCTGTATCAGCAGAACCTCCGACGACAGGATGTAGCTGCAGATCTGGAGCGAMTAAAAGTGTCTGTGACRTGTTTATCCTAYAAAAAGTCAAATAAAAATATTTATATTTATTAAACTCGGCATTAAACGCACAATTCTACGCATAGCTTTTGAACTGAAATGAAACAGGAAGTGACATCAAAGGGGAACTTATGAAGAAAATGAACTTTCTGGTCTTTGTTTATTGAATATTTGAACTCTGACTCTTCATCTTTACGATGGACTCGCAACAATCTAAAGCAGTGGTTCCCAAAGTTGGGGTCAGGACCCAAAGTGGGTCATTTTTGCCTTATTTGCCTAAAATATATAAATGTAGAATAATAAATGTTACTATGCCCATGTTTAGTTGACCTGATACGTTTATTATCCAAAATTAGTAGCAGTGACCTGTGCCC